CTCTGATGGGAGCCGGGCTTGAACCTGCAACCTTCTGCTTTCTGGACAACCTGCTCTACCTCTGCAGCTTACTGCTGCCCTTGAATAACGTGTAATGAGTATTCCTAACAACTCATCACTGGTTAGATTTGTCTGTTAATATTTTAATATTTAGTTTATTCTCAGGTGAAAAGTGAAGCTTGTTGGGTTTATTTGTTCCTACAGCTACGTTTGCTGTTGTCTTAGCGCGTGTGTGTGTGTGTGTGTGTGTGTGTGTGTGTGTGTGTGTGTGTGTGTGTGTGTGTGTGTGTGTGTGTGTGTGTGTGTGTGTGTGTGTGTGTGTGTGTGGTGTGTGTGTGTGTGTGTGTGTGTGTGTGTGTGCAAGATGCTACACACACACAGTATGTGACCAATAACCATACGTGCTCTTCATCAGATTCTTGTGGTTGAAAACTCCGCTGTTGCCAGCTCTGATTGCTTGCTTAGATCATTAGTTTCAGACATGTCTGAGGTCTGTTCCAGGTCTGAAGGTGCGGCCACATGTGTGCACGAACACGGGGAATCTTGTTTTTTGTCTTTATCACAGCCTCTTTGAAAGAAATGAATGGCTGCCTCTGAGAAAAATGAGTCGGTTGATGAAAATGTGGAAATTATCAAAATGAGCACACAATCACACACACGTGTACATGCATACTTGTGTGTGATTGTGGTGTGCATGTGTGTGTGTGTTGCCTGGACAGTGAGTCAGAGTTAATGGCCCTGCCTAATGTGCAGTGGCGATCTCCTCAGGAAGGAATCACAGTTCTGGTCGTGTGAGGAGGACGCTGACCTTTGTGGTAAATGACAGAGCACCAAGTCATTTAATGGCCGTCTCACTGGGAACACAAGTGCTGCTCACAATAACCTGATGAAAAAGGAGGCTCCTTAAGCTGCTCTTCTATCGTGTCCTTTTAGGAATGAGGATGAATGAACACTAATATCTCTGAGTCGTTACAACCAGAGCCTGGAGGCGGGGTCTGTCTTGAGAGAGTGCTTTTGACTTCAGCTGCAGGAGAACTAGAGAGGTCCTTCACAGAGAAACCATTTTTTAATGAGTCACTCTAGTGTTTCATTCAGGCTGAACATGAGAATAGTCTCCTACACCTGTCTTCGCATTAGCTTCTGAAAGGATAAAATAGACGGTGAAACTCTAGGATTAGAAAAGGCAGATCTACGTCGCACTGTCACAGAACATTCATGGACTCACCCATCTTGGCTTACGACGGGGAAGGCTGTTGTTTGGTTTAGCTTCCAGGAAACAGCTTCAACTAGCAGATACACGTCTCTGCTAGCAGAAGCTAACCGTTAGCATTAGCAACACCACCACACAGCAGAACTCCTCCAGACTTGTGTTATTAGCTGGATAAAACATCAGTGTAGCAGAGCAGACAGTCAGAGGTAGAGTCACATTGGTAGTAGCCAATCAGAGGAGAGATGTCCAAATATCAGGAAATAAGACTCTAAAATCCTGTCGTGCTGAAGCTCCCCTTAAAATTTGAAAATTAAAATTCTTTTACTGAGTTTTTTTTATTTTTAAGAATTGTGGACCAGCTCTATACCCTTGCAAGGGTGATGGAGGGGGCACGGGAGTTTGCCCAACCAATCCACATGTGTTTTGTGGATTTAGAGAAGGCTTATGACCGTGTCCCCAGGGGCACCCTGTGGGGGACGCTCCAGGAGTATGGGGTGGGTGGCTTTCTGTTAAGGGCCATTCAGTCCCTTTACCAGAGGAGCACGAGTTTGGTCCGCATAGCCGGTAGTAAGTCGGACCTGTTCCTGGTTTGGGTTGGACTCTGCCAGGGCTGCCCTTTGTCACCTGTTCTGTTCATTACCTTTATGGACAGAATTTCTAGGCGCAGCCGTGGTGTGGAGTGTGTCGAGTTTGGTGGCAGGAGAATCTCGTCTCTGCTTTTTGCGGATGATGTGGTCCTCCTAGCTTCATCCAGTTCTGACCTTCAGCTCTTGCTGGGTAGGTTCGCGGCCGAATGTGAAGCGGCTGGGATGAGGATCAGCACCTCCAAATCTGAGACCATGGTTCTCGACCGGAAAAGGGTGGCTTGCCAACTCCGGTTCGGGAGAGAGGTCCTACCTCAAGTGGAGGAGTTTAAGTATCTCGGAGTCTTGTTCACGAGTGAGGGTAGGAGGGATCGGGAGATCGACAGGCGGATTGGTTCGGCATCTGCAGTGATGCGGACGCTGAGCCGATCTGTCGTGGTGAAGAGGGAGCTGAGCCAGAAAGCCAGGCTCTCGATTTACCGGTCGATCTACGTCCCAATCCTCACCTATGGTCATGAGCTTTGGGTAATGACCGAAAGAACGAGATTGTGGATACAAGCGGCCAAAATGAGTTTCCTCCGTAGGGTGGCCGGGCTCAGCCTTAGAGATAGGGTGAGGAGCTCGGACATTCGGAGGATCTCGGAGTAGAACCGCTGCTCCTCCGGATCGAAAGGAGTCAGTTGAGGTGGTTTGGGCATCTGGTCAGGATGCCTCCTGGACGCCTCCCTGGGGAGGTGTTTCGGGCATGTCCTGCCGGCAGGAGGCCCCCGGGTCGACCCAGGACACGTTGGAGAGGTTAAATCTCCAATCTGGTCCGGGAACGCCTTGGGGTCCTGCCGGAGGATCTGGTAGAGGTGGCCGGGGAGAGGACGGTCTGGAGCTCCCTAGTTGGGATGCTGCCCCCGCGACCCGGACCCGGATAAGCGGAGGAAGACGACAACGACAAGTTTTTTTAAGGACACATGTAAAATATAAAAAGTGTGCAGTATGTGGTTTAAATGTTATATTTTAACAACAATAATGCAGCAAACCTCCTCCTCAAAATGGTTTCATCCTGCTCACCTTTCCCAGAGTCGGGTTGTGAGTGTCTGTGTGCCTCCTTCCTGAGTGGCTGCTGTAGCTAAGGGAGGCCAGATCACACACTCTTCCAAACACTGTCCTGCATTTTTAACAGTTTTCTGTTTCGTGTTTAAATCTTACAAAAACTGCTTGTGAGGAGAAAGCAGTCAGTCAAACTAGGAGGTGGGGCTCTACGCAGGTCTGGAGCGCACGCGGCTCCCGAACCAGCAGAAAGAAAAATAGGAAAAACACAGCGAGCTTGGTGGAGACGAGACTGAAGACATTTATTCGTGAGTTAAAGCTTTTCAGGGTGACTCTGACCCTCTGTGTGGTCTTTTCTCCACTCTCACGGCAAAATAAAATGTTGTTCCAAAGCAGTAATCAGACGGGTTCCCGCTAAAGAAGGTTCTAATCTGGACAAGGTGCTGGGGTTGATCTTTCAGATACATGCTAATCAAACCCGTTTAAGGCACATTAAAGTTTTAGTAATGTAACTGAATACTTCATTACTTATTATTCTTTGAATTGTGAGAAAAAATGTCAAAACTTTATTCAGAGATGATTATTCTCTTTCTTTCTCCCTAAATATCTACTAAATGACATTTGTTCTAATTTTTGAAAAAGCATCATTTTGTTTCCATTTTGGTTCCAAACCCAGCCGCAGTTCATGGCCGTGTCCAAACCTCAGACTGGTGGAGCTACGTCGGTTTCTTTTGTGGTTGAAGAAAGAAACAGAAGCTGATCTTCCTCTGCTGTCTGTGTGCCAACAGTGATGTGCATGGATGCCAAGATCAACTTTGACCCTAACGCAGCGTATCGCCAGAAGAGGGTGTTTGATATGCGGGACTGGAGCCAGGAGGACCCGCGGGACCGGCAGGCCGCCACAGCGGACCTCAACTACATCGGCCTGGACGGAACCATCGGCTGTCTGGGTCGGTGTTCCCCACCAGCTCTGTTACCTCTGGTGTTTTATTTAGTACGCCACCTGCTTCAGTTACTTGCAGCCTTATCACACAGGAGGGTCAATTATAGTTCTGCGTTTGAAATCAGAAAAGGATGTTTTTTAGTTCTTGTTTAGTTAAGAGTCTCGTTTACAGCAACTGGAGCTGAACCGGCCTCATGTTAAAGGTCAAGGTCACTTTTATTTACTCAGCAGGTTTAAAACCGCTGCTGCAGAACAAAGGTGGGAGACGGATGAAAGCACAGTGACTAAAGTTAGATACAAGAACAACATGTTTGCTACCCCCCACCGTAGAATTCCTCTCTGCACCGCTGGGTGCCGTTCCACGTGGACAGCAGGTCCCTGTGGGGGTTCTGTAATGGAACCCTGTTTTCCTCTCTAGTAAACGGAGCGGGTCTGGCCATGGCCACCATGGACATCATCAAGCTCCATGGCGGCACACCAGCTAACTTCTTGGATGTAGGGGGCGGAGCCACAGCTCACCAGGTGACAGAGGCCTTTAAGCTCATCACCTCGGACAGAAAGGTAAGAAACACCTGCTGCCTCTGCAGCTCATCGTTAAACAGGAACATCGTTATTTTCTCTACAGGACGATTTTGATTATTGTCACGATGTAGTTCCATCTCAACGTCTTAGTCAGGTTTACGGGGAACTTTCTGTTCATTAGCGTTCTTCTAAAATGTGTCTGACTGGCTAACAGAACGGTCGAAACTCCTCTAAGACATTTGAACGCTGCAGGTAAACCGCTTTAACCTGAACCACTTCTGGTCATTTAACCGTAAAAGGAAGGAAAACGTTCCTTTTATAAATAAAAGTGCTTCACATCTGAACCTAAAAGTCCCACCATATTACATATTTATCACGTGGGTGCATTAGTAAAACGGTTATTACGTGCATGACATCACCGACTCCCGCCCCTGTGCAGCGCTCAGCTGTAGCACAGACTTTGGCAGCAACGCTTCATCTACACACGTGCTTCTCTTGGGTTTTCTCAGGTTCAGGCCATTCTGGTCAACATCTTTGGAGGCATCATGAGGTGTGACGTCATCGCTCAGGGCATCATCATGGCTGTGAGAGACCTGGACCTCAAGATCCCCATTGTAGTACGGTTACAAGGTACGGTTCATTCAGAAAACACACCCACCACAGAAACGGCTGACTAGTGACTCACAGAGACGTCACTCATGCAGCCTGTATCACTATAATCAGAGCCTGACAGGTGTGTTGGTGGTGTGTAGAGGAAGAGCAGGGAGCTGAGCCTGGAGGCAAAGCTTTTGATTTGCTAATCCCCTTCTAATCCTCATCTATTATCCTGAGATCTGGGTTGTCACGAAGCAGGAAACGGCAGAGAAGAGACTAGATTCAGTCTCCTCTCCATATATGATCCGACCTGCGGGTGGAGGGACCTGCTGACTCTAACTTTCTGAGCACATGCAGCAGGTAGGAAGGATTACAAACCTCACCAGGCGTGACCTCAGCTTCCCTGGGCAACAGTTGGAAAAATCATCTTATCTTTCTGCCTCAGTGTCTCACGTCTGGTGAAACGTTTTCTCGTTTCCAGTCCGTCACTTCCTGGTTTTGGTTCTGGCTCGTTGGGTTGAACTGCACTGGGACTAGGATGCTCACGCGGGTCAGGTGGCTGAGCGAATAGCGAGACATACATGGTGGTTTCTAAGGTATTTTGGCCGCCACAGGCCACCATACCTGTTACCTGGTCAAGCGGGGAGAACTGGTGCTTCTCCACACAAACAGGAAGAACAAAGGTGAGAGACGTGGTGAAAAGCTCACTGGAACACCTGGAAAAAGAAAGGAGAACCGTGAAGCTGATTGTAAAGTTTAGGGTAGAATCGTGACCCAGCTGTGGGGGCACAGTGTCTGCTCACACAAGAGAGAGGGTTGGAGGACGCTCCTCCAAACACGCGTTATTATTTTCATAATTTCATCATTGTTTCTCCTGGAAACGCTCGAGTGCTGTGATGTCGGGAGATCCCGTCTGCGGGAGGGGGCGGGGCTGACGGCAGCTGCAACGTGATCGTCTGTCTCTTTTATTTAGGGACTCGGAGAAGTTAACAGGAGAAATAGAAGATAGAAGTTTTTGTTCCACGTTATTCTTTTGTTTCATGATGATAAACTGATGTTAAATTCAGCTTAAAGACAATCTGGGAGGGTGGCATAAATATCTGACTCTAAAGCTGCTCACAGACATTAAACACTAATATATGGACCCATGGATTTAAAACTTTAATTAAAGGAAATAATTGGACGTGTCTTTGTAGGTTTTTAGTATATTTTTCAGATTTAGTGAGTTTTTGCAACGCATGATTTTCTCAGCCTGAGGTGTGACTGTTGAATGAGGAAACAGTCTTTTTTACTTTGTTAAATCTTCTTAAATGTTTAAAATGTTTTGTTTAAGGACTGTTGTTAATGGAGAGCTTTTGGGGGGCGGCAGGTTGTGTCAGACACACGCAAATCATCTGACATCTTCTATTTATCGATGAAAACAAATCCATATGAAATAATCGTGATGCATTGGGATATTGAATTGAATTGAATCGTTGACCCAATAATCGTAATCGAATCTGGAAACAAGTGAAAATTCACACCTGCAGTTATTGCCCTCTGAAATTGTACGTGCTTGCTGTCGGGTCCTAACCAGATCTGAGGGATCCCCGTGTTCCTGAAGGCAGCACGTTCCGCTCCTTTTTTCTGCTTTAGATTTAAAACATGTCGGCTTTTGCCGAGGCTTGTGCTGAATTTCTACCATTTCTCTCCATATTTCAAGTATATTGAAGCTGAAACCAGCTCTCTGGTCATGAATGTCTTCAGACATCTTTGATGCTCCTGCTCCAAAGTCTCGCTCAACTTTACACATCAGTCTGAAAACCTCCGCAGCATCACTCGTCACAGCGACATCCCATCACCACTTTGTTTTCGGGAGCTTCAGTTGCTGTCTGGGTCTTTTCTCTTCAACACACAAGGTCTCCAGGGCTCCTGGAACCCTAGAAAGACTTCTTTAAAGATCTTGTTATAGGAGAGCATTTAAGAAGGGTGAGAACAGAGAAACGTGTCCCCAGTTTCCTGACATCTAAAACACAAAAGCAGCCACAGGTGGGATGGATCAGCTTTATGGTGGGAAACGTGGAAGTGTCGGAACTCTCTGAAAGCTTCATTGATCTAAAAAACACGTTTTTATTTTCAGGAACAAGAGTGGACGACGCCAAAGCTCTGATCGCTGCCAGCCCACTAAAAATCCTGGCTTGTGATGACCTCGACGAGGCAGCTAAAATGGTACACACACACCTTGATGAATTTTACTGGTGTTTTTGTAAGGATGTGTGGTGTTGTATTTAATGCTGTGAGTCTTTGCTGCCAGGATTAAAGCCTCATAGTTCTTGCTTAAAACACACTGGTGCTCCACCAAAGATGCAGGAAGCAAATTAGCCCCTCTGTCTTTTATTTATTGATTTCCCCTCTTTAACTCTGTTAAAGTGATACTTTCTATCTTTTTCATATTTTTAAATTATTTTCTTGAGTCAGTTTGTGCTAAAATGACCCTTTACAGGGTTAATGAAAGGCCACCCTGCCCCTATCGTTCATGTAGCCAGAAGACTGCATTTGCAACTAGAGTGGTGGTTCAGTGGTTGAGCTGACATACCAGGCGCTGCAGTCTGGTTCCAGCACGTTTCCTGCATTTTTTAGATTGTGAACACAGCTCATTTGTTTATTTTTGTGATGAACTGCTCCTT